TATTATCAGCAGAGTTTTGTTTGTTATAGATGTTGAGGTAAGGTATCTTGGCACGGTAACTTTGGTAATGCTGAACAATATAATGATGAAGACACAGATCAACATCAAGGTTTTCATCCTCGTTACCTTTTGTCCAGTAGTTGTGTCTGAAATAAGAGATTATCTTTTATCTAAATGTTTATACATTCATATTATATAAAATGGGTAATTCTCTTAGCTCCGTTTTTTTAAAGATTGATAGGTGCAAAAAAAATATTATAAATGCTAGTAGGATATTTTCTAACTGGTTCTATATCTATGTTTGTTCTTAAGTGTTCTTTTCTCAATTGTTAAAATATACAACAAACTTAGACATTGATGCTAAATGCAAATGGTGCTCGATCACAATTTTAAGTTAACATGTATGTATGAACATAGCACTTGCCGTTATGTTAGCTCAATAAAATTCTGAATTGCGATACATGTTTAATATTGTGCACCATGCCATTTTGACACGTAAAACTTGTATTCCCTGTCTACTTGTAAAACAGTTATTTGTTTGTTACCCATGGACAGATTTTGTGATGCGGACAAAAAATGTATAAGCACTAATATAATGAACATATTAAGAACATAGCAGATTGCACAAAACACACAGTCATACTTGTGGAATTAAAGTCTGTGATATGTTACCACTATGGGATTATATCAAATAATATTAAATTCCCCCTTAACACATCCTCTCCTCCATGACAAATCTGAATGAAATTATTTAAAACGTTTAAAAACATACCTGAAACCAAAGTTGCTGCTTTCAGCTTCTAGAGCACGTGTAAAATGGGTTAGTCAAAAGTCATAAGACGTAAGTCACAAATCAAAAGTCAAAAGTCGAAAGTCAAAGGTAAAACATCCGTAAGTCGAAACTCAAAAGTGACCCTCCAAGGCTTCCATTCTTATTACCTGATTTACAAATTCCACCGAACACTTTTAACGTACTTTTTTCATCTTGGTTACTCCATTCCGCAGATTTACACTTACTCATCACATTAACACTATTAGCCAGAGTGACAGTCATGTGGGTTTTTTTATTATACCGAATTTCACTGTTTTATCAGGGGAGAGAACTAGAAAATTACTTTTTAAGTCTATATAGATTATTTTCCCCTTTGGAATATTGCAAAAAAATTATTGATCGGGTGATATTCATTTTCAGGATGATAGATCGAAAAAATACACATGATGTCACATAAGGCTATAAAAATAAATGTTTTCGTGAGGAAAAATAAATGGATGTATCACAAACCCGTGCCGCCGTCCGTAAAAGCGATATTGCAAGGTCGTGCATATATTTTGACATAACGTAATTTGCGTAGGTGTCGACATAAGGTAACTATTAAGATCGCAGTAGTGACTGGCTTAAACTTTAGTAAGTGGAATATTGAATCAAACGTGTATTACCGTTGTTGTTGTTGGGGGGGGGGGTATTATCATGAATGTACAAGGCTTAAATTGTAATTAAAGCCGTGCATGGTACATAACGTCATATAATTTTCTTCGTTATTCTAATAATAAACTAAAATAATATGCGTGATTAAGGTAAGGGTGTGTTTATCTTTGTAATTAGTGTCTAAAACGTATTTATGGTTGAAATGTTTTATCAGTAACTTTGATAGAATTTATGTAGGAAACATGTTAATGTTCGCTGTCATACTTCGTGCTTGACCAAGCTTAAAATTATACAGTATGGGATTTTATCTATACAAAACGTAATTTCTTACATATATGTTTCATACTAAAATTTGATAAACAAACAAATGGAAAATAACAATTCTCGCTATTCTTTAAAGTCCTCATAATGCAGAAATGCATATACCTTTGGACCAATAAAGGCATGCAAACAAAACATAAAAAATAGAAAATGATATCGCTAACATGTTATGGGCAAAAACTGTTAAAAGCACAAACATGATGTTTTATATACTTTACGTGCAGTGTTGTTAATCGAGAAGAGGCCATAACGTTTCACCTTTACAATTTGATCATCCCTTAAATGCTATGATTCAAATAGTGTTGTCTATTTTAATATCAACCAATATTTCACTACATATGTTCTCAATATAATTTGTATAATACCAATAAATCAAAACCATTTCTTTCTTATTACAATCAACCGTTTTATTTCAATTTCTTCTTCTTCTTCTTTATGGGGTGGTTGGTTTGTTGTCCCGTCTCTATCAAAATTTGAAACAATGCTTCTCCGACAGATATTTTTACCATGCTCCAATAAATAAAGAGATTATTTCATTTTTCTTGAATAAAAAACCTAACCGGAGAACAATCATTTTTCAGAATCAACTATAAAATCTTTACATCAATTTTTAGCACAGGGAATAAAGTAACAAATTAAACTAGGTGCATTTGCTTTGACTTATCTGCTCTTTAAAATGACATAACAGCGCACTTTCTCATGTTTAATAAATTTGTTTCAATTTTGAATTTCTTAAATTGTGCAATGCTTGATAAATTTCTCTGCACTTGTATGAATGCATCTTCATTGTCCTTAGAAAAGTTGTATAACTTTAAGCTTTGCTAAATTTTAATAAGCGGGCGGCTATTTACGGTTTACGATAGAGTTATAAAATCTTCATACAATCAGACTTTTAGTGATCTTTTATCGTATACTCGATCCTTTGCTGAGAGTAAAATAAATGGATGTAACCATATAGAAAATTGACAAAGTCTAGTGTATCTTTTATCATGCCATTACATTGATTTCTGTTGATAAACTGAATTGATAAATTCACCCTCAGCTTTATCAGACATATTGAAAATTGAAAATGAAGAAAACAGAATAGTTTTACCTTTTACTAGTCTGAAAATATTAAACTGATAAATTTAAACGAATATAATTTTTGAATATCAAAGTCTCTCTTACATTTGACTAAAAACATTTGGGAATATTTTATATAGATATGGCCCTTGGCATATTACTGCGCAAGGCATGAACTCGAGAGGTTCTTGACATTTTTTGTTTCATTTGAAATATAAAGAAAGGAACGCATATTTAAATTGCAAACATGATAAATAGAATACCAAACGAGCGTCTGATATTATGTAATTTATCAGGCTCGGCACGAAAACAAATGAAGGGCGGGGCTCCTTTTTTTTCTAAGCCTTTCTTGATAAATTTTGTAATATCAGACACTAGCATGGTATTCTCTACATATCAATTTTCAAAATCTTCAAACCTGTGAAGACTGGTGGTTAAGGCTTAATACCATAATAATTATTATGTTTTGATACTATGCAAGTGCATCAATGTCTATTTTGTGAATGGTCTCACAAATCTGTAAAATTAGTCAGAAGCATTTTCCGCATAATTACAAAATATTACTACACCATATTATTGTACTGTTAGTCTTTTAAATACCGGCTTAACAGGTATATAATCTTCAACACTTTCAGACTTCTAAGAATCGAAAACAATGATCCAAGAATTTTATTCTTAAGTCAGCTTCTTTAGTGAGCTTGTGGTCGTGCATCCCTGAAATATATTAATTAGGCCATGCAGACTTGAATGTAGCCGAAACCTAACCTTTAAATAAAACAATATGTAAGTTAATGACCATGAAAAGTATCCAAACCTTGACATCAATTACATCTGTAATATAAAGGTAACGACTTTTATTACACGTCGTTTATCATCGAAAAATAGTAACTGAAAAAAAACACAATAGTTTTAGATAAACATTTCCCCAAATCAGTGTTAACCTTATCTGCATTCTAGCTGATGTTAGGTTAGCATTACAACAGTGTGTTCTCTGAAAGAATTTAATGCCAAAGCAAAGAACTTATATGACTTTATAATAAACATTCAATAGAATACGTAGTTACGGAATCTCATGTCTATAATTTCCAGATGAAATATAAAAAAGGCGATTGATCAAGAGTGTTTTACTTCTTTCCATCGTTTTTATGTATTTGTATATATATATGAAATATAAATCTAGGTGAAATCGTTTCAAACTCTTATTAACAAAAAATAAAATTCACATCCTTATAATTTCATCTAAAACGAAAAGTAAGCTGGCAAAAGATCAAAATTCTGTTTAATTTAACTAGCCAAGGATTTGAATACAGTTTTAAACAGGACTGGATGAGACCATAATCTTTTCACCGATTTTGTTAAAATATTGACTGAGTAATTGTGTTTTGTTTTGCATGTTTTCATCAGTCAAAATTGTTAATGTTTGTGTTATGTGTATTGTTTTGTTTAGGAAAACAAAATATAATCTGATCAGATGTAAAGACGTTTATGACATAGACTATGAAATAAATAGCGTGATGCAATGGTATTGTTCAAACATGTATTTACTTATACAAGAATCCGATAATCATATCAGTCAAAAAATAATACACTAGCAAACTGATATATATACAGAGCTGAATGTTACATGTACAGTTTATACAACAGTAAAATCACTTATAGCAGCCGTGAAAACACTGATAAACATTGTTCTATAGATGCGCGAAAATATGACTATTAAGAAATTATTGGTGTAGAAATATTCGCGCTGAACATGAATTCGCGGATCGAATGTCACCGCGAAGATCGCGAAAATTTGAAGTCTGCGAATATTTCTACACATACAGTAATCCAATTTACTTTTACATGTATATTCTTGGAATGAGAGAGAAAAACACATTATACAACTTAAGAAATTGAAAGTTCAAAAGTCGCCATTGCTTTTGACATATTTTTGTTACTTCCACACATTTATTCATTCCACCAGTAGAAATTATAAAAAGTATCTAAACAATACAGATAGAAAGGCACTACTTTATCGTAAGTTAAAGGATATCTCCATCTCACAAGTTCCTCGGCAACTCCTTACTGTATACACTTTAAAATCTGCAATTCTAACTCTCGTACGTGTGTTTAAGAAATTAAACGGTAAATGCTCTAAGAATAAATTTAAATAGAAAAATCTTAAAGGGATTACTTTTTGGGCGTAAACTATTCAGTTTATAGTTATCCGCCGTATCTTCCCGGCATGTAAAAGGTTTCCTATAGAACTAAAGCTCCACCAATTTTTCACTTTTTTCCAAACGAAAAGATCAAGGGTGTAGTTCCCGTAGGAGGCTTTCGTGTCATCCATAAAAAATCCTCTATGTGAGTTAACAACTGCGCCAGCTTGTATAACTTTCCTACGCTCTGATTCCAAATATCCAATATCGGCGTCATGATCCCATGGTATGACGTCACAATATCTATACGCACCTAAAACTGTTCCGTAATCAACCCAATATGTCACGTTGTACATCTCTAATGCACGTGACACAGTTTTTATCAAAACTCGTAAATTTTCACTTTTCTGTGGAGAAATGTCACACGGCTCGAGACGTTTCTTGTTCAGATTAATATAAGCAAAGGCAATTATTCCAAGAAAAAATATCAAAGCTATTTTAAACGAACATTTCAAACGGCAACATTTTTTATCACCCATTATGGAAATGAGTTTGTTTAATATCATATCAGATATGTAAATATATGCATGAAATGCCTAATTTTGGACCAAAATGGATAAAAGGAATAAAAAAAACATTTTTAATGAAGTAGGGCGAAATGATATTTGGATCAATGAAGATAATCTCCAAAGGAAAAAAATTGGGCAAAGAATTGGGAAAAAAAAGTTATATTAACATTACAGCGTTTTCAAAACTGGCAGGTGTCAACTAAAGGACTAAATTATTCAATTATACGTAATACGCAGTCAAAAAAAATACGTACATTTATTTCAATTATTTTAGAAACGGTTAAACTATAAGGAATCACATGAATATTTTCTCTGTAAAATTGTTGATACTGTCATAGGATCTGTAGACCAATACTGTAATGTTCTACTTATTCCATTTGTCTTTCCTTGAGTTGTCACTGCTGTCAGTGTAGTCATCACTTTTATACAAATATTATGATTTTTGTTCTTCTTTTTTGGTGATGATCATGTTAGGTAATTAATTCAAACTGACACATTATTGATATTGTGCGAATATAAACTCATATGGACATTTTCTACTCTATTTTTATCATCTTAAATATAAGTAAGTCAAGCCTTTTTCCTTGACTTCTCTAGTTTTAGTTGTGTGTTGCTTTTTTGTTGTTGTGATTTATATTTTGTGTATGTTTTTTTTTCATGTTAAATATAGGTCAAGCGTTTTTCGTGACTGCTCTAATTTCCCATAAGTCTTTTTTCTTAATATTTTTACACTTGTTTGTCAATATGCCTATGATATATGATACTTTATGCATAAAAGATGTTTAACTTTTTTTCCATGCTTTCTTTTGCAGATCTCTACCGGAACCATGTATTGCTTAATTGTGTTTGCATATCCTCATGTTGTATTTATAATACCTTGAGTGAAAATATTTTTGTCTGTCTGTCAGTTCATCAGTTGTATGCAAGTATTATTAATCCTTTCCTCTATAATTGTTTATGTTATGCAACCGAACTCCTTGTCCACGTGTATATTATAATTATGCGAATTTTTACTTAATTGATGTTTACATGTCCTATTTCTGTAAGACAGGTTATGACACTTCTGCTAATTTAGCTAAACTGATACTTTTATCAATAAAATGTTGATTATTTCCAGATATGTTAAAAACATTTGGTATCCAATTTTGTAAACTTTTAAAACTAACCATTCATTCATAATCAATTATTAATTTATTTATTTTCCCTACACATTTACGCGAAGTTATGGCTTTACACTACCTTTTGGGGATAGCGCGGTTTCGGCGCACTGATCTACTTCAGGCTGCACAAATGCAATATAAGTATACTCTGTTTCTTTTTAAATCAATACTAAATAGTGTTTTATAGTGTTAATAAATCAAATAATTTTAAAAAGTGTAGATTATCAAATTTAGTTTCAGCCACCCAATATCCGAACACGGAACATTCCCGGACTAAGACTTTATAGTCCTTTTTCAAAATACTTAATGGAGTAAAGCTAACAATCTGTCACGTGACCTTACAAGGTAATCACATTGCTTGTTATAGTCTATAGTTTTTTGTTGTTGTTTTTTAACGGCTCTGAAAAGACATTCATTTGATTTTAATCTGATTTTTTAAATATCATAGACTTTACCAAAAATAAGTGCAAAACATATTAAAAAGAAGAAAATATATGAAATAAATCTTCGTTTCAATTATGTTGAAAATACATGTAGTTATGAATAAGGAAAAAAACATGTACATACCCGGTGTCGATCTTACAACACGCATGACACTTAGAAATAATAAAAACATAACATGTTATGTTATGTTTTTAACAAATTTTAAACCGTAGTTTACCCTATTGCACTATAACGGTCAGTATGATTATTCCATACTTTGCAAAATAAATTACATTTAATCACATCTAACTGATACATCACACGAAAAATTACCGAACATTTATCAAAGATTAATATATTGTATGCATTGGCCGTATAATCAGTATGCAATTGACAGGTTAGTAAAAACCAAACATTTTAATGGCTAGAGCTTAATAAAGTGTATGTTGTTGTATTTTACTCAGATATCTTTTCAGTTTACGCGAACTGGTATCCAAAAATATACGGGATATGATTTGAAG